TCATCTGTAATTATCAACAAGTACAGGGACTAATAACTCATAATTAATTTCAGTAATGTTCAGGAGTAAGTGTTTTCAAATTTCCTGATTGGTGTTCTGGACATTTCACATCACGAGTCGAGGACGAATTTCTTATTAACTATTAGAGTTGACATGATGAGCGGTGGCAGCATTATTTACATCAATGAGCGCTCTTGTTTAGTTATTCCTTATAACATAACATCCAGACACCTCCACGGTTGTTGCACTCACATTCACATTAGACTGAGTGATGTTGGGATCGAACTACCGTGTCAGGATACCATTGACCCAATACCATTGACCATTAGGAACGATGCGATAAATTTTCAAGTGATCGTCATGAGGTTTAGCCATTTAGTATGGCTTGGTTAGGTGTCCTCCCAGCCTGATGGCACTCTCGCTGGAATCCCGGAAACCATTTTGGAGAATATAAGGAAAATCCAGGAGCAACCTTGGGCCTCATTCTCAATGCATCCAAATGTGAAATAATATCCCGCGACCCAGACATCACTCGCAAAATAAAAAATGTTCTTCCAGACATTCTCGTTGTCGAGTCTCCGGACTGCACCCTCCTGGGTGCCTTTATTGGCTCACAAGCAATCGAGAAGGTCCTGGGTACAAAAATCATTGATCAAAAGAGAATGCGGGACGGGATTGACAAGATTGATGCTAAAGAATGATCTCTTCCTCCTCACAAGATGTCTATCTCTCCCTAAAGTGACCTACTTTCTGAGATGTTCTCCATCCTATAGCAGCCCTAAATTAAATGTGTATGACACCCTTCTAAGGTCCATGCTGGTGAAAGTCCAGAACCTGCCATTGAACTACTTTCAGAAGGCTCCCTTGGTTGCAGGGGAGACTAGGAGTGGGTGGAGGGGAGACTAGGAGTGTGTGAGGAAGAGACTAGGAGTGGGTGTGCAGAGACTAGGAGTGGGTGTGCAGGAGACTAGGAGTGGGTGTGGAGGAGACTAGGAGTGGGTGTGGAGGAGACTAGGAGTGGGTGTGGAGGAGACTAGGAGTGGGTGTGGAGGAGACTAGGAGTGGGTGTAGAGGAGACTAGGAGTGGGTGTGGAAACTAGGAATGGGTATGGAAGAGACTAGGAGTGGGTGTGGAGGAGACTAGGAGTGGGTGTGGAGGAGACTAGGAGTGGGTATGGAAGAGACTAGGAGTGGGTGTGGATGAGACTAGGAGTGGGTGTGGAGAATAGGAGTGGGTGTGGAGGAGTCCAGAAGTGGGTGGGGAGGAGACTAGGAGTTAGTGTGGAGGTGACTAGGAGTGGGTGTGGAGGAGACTAGGAATGAGTGTAGAGAAGACTATGTGTGTGTGTGGAGGAGACTAGGAGTTGGTGTAGAGGAGACTAGGAGTGGGTGTGGAGGTGACTAGGAGTGGGTGTGGAGGAGACTAGGAGTGTGTGTGGAAGAGACTAGGAATTGGTGTGGAGGAGACTAGGAGTGGGTATGGAAGAGAGTATTAGTGGATGTGGACGAGACTAGGAGTGTGTGTGTGTGGAAGAGACTAGGAGTGGGTGTCGAAGAGACTAGGAGTGGGTGTGGAAGAGACTAGGAGTGGGTGTGGAGGAGACTAGGAGTGGGTGTGGAGGAGACTAGGAGTGGGTGTAGAGGAGACTAGGAGTGGGTGTAGAGGAGACTAGGAGTGGGTGTAGAGGAGACTAGGAGTGGGTGTAGAGGAGACTAGGAGTGGGTGTAGAGGAGACTAGGAGTGGGTGTGGAGATGACAAGGAGTGGGGACTCTTAGTTGTACTTGCGGGGGTTGATCTCTGGCTCTTTGGTCCCCGCCTTTCAATTGTCAATCAACTGGTGTACAGATTCTGGGGCCTACTGGGCTCTATCATATCTACATTTGAAACTGTGTATGGAGTTAGCCTCCACCACATCAATGCATAATGTTTTCATCTGTTAATTACCCTGATACTGAAAAAGTTCTTTCTAACGTCCCTGTGGGTTATTTGCGTACTCAGTTTCCATCTGTGTCCCCTTGTTTGCGTTCCACACGTGTTAAGCAGTTTATCTTTATCTACCCTGTCAATTCCTCTGAGGATTTTGTAGGTAGTGATCAATCTCCCCTTGCTCTTATGTCTTCCAGTGTCGTGAGGTGCATCTCAAGCAGCCTTTCCTCGTACCTCATGCCACTTTGTCTGGGACTAGCCTAGTGGCATATCTTCGAACTCTTTCAAGCTTTGTCTTGCACTTAATATGGTACGGGGTCCATGCTGGGGCCGCATACTCTGGATTTGGTCTTACATATGTGGTGTACAAGGTTCTGAATGATTCCTAGCACAAGTTCCTGAAGGCAGTTCTGAAGTTAGCCACCCTTGCATACGCTGCAGATGATATTCTTTTGACGTGGGCTTCACAAGACAGGTTTGGTACAATATCAACACCTAGATCTTTTTCTCAGTCCGTTTCATAAAGGACTTCATCTCCCATTCTGTATCCTGTGTCTGACCTCCTGTTTCCACTACCTAGTTTCATTACCTTTATTTTATTCGGGTGTAACTTTAGTAGCTATTTGCTGGACCATTCTTTCAGTCTGTCTAGGTCATCATGTCACCTCATACTATCTTCCTATCGTCAATATCCTACACATAATTTTTTCATCATCAGCATGGGTGTGGAGGAAACTTGGAGTGGGTGTGGAGAAGACTAAGAGTGGGTGTAGAGAGGAGACTAGGAATGGGTGTGGAGGAGCCTAAGAGTGAGTGTGGAGGAGACTCGGAGTAGGTGTAGAGGAGGTTATGAGTGGGTGTGGAGGAGATTAAGAGTGGGTGTGGAGGAGACTAGGAATGGGTGGGAAGAGACTAGAAGGGGGTGTAGAGGAGACTAGGAGTGGGTGAGGAGGAGACTAGGAGTGGATGTAGAGGAGACTAGGAGTAAGTAGCTAATGACAATGGACTCAACATGACCCTAAACTGGATCCCATCCGATGTTGGAATCCCATTAAATGAAAAAGCCGGTGAAACTGCTAAATTGGCACCTCGTCCCCCAGTGATCGATACACATAAGAATTCATTCCAGCCTAGAGTATATAAAAGACACCATATCACTGAAAAAACTCGTACACCTCAACAAAGCTCATCTAAAACTGAGAGCAGCAGAAGGTTCCCCCTCTACAATATGGTATCTTCAGGCCACCAAGTTAGACAGATTAAATATCCCAAAGGAATATTTAAAAGGGTCAGGATAAAAGGGAAATAGCAGTTTGGTTATATAGACTACGTCTAGGTTACAGATGCAACTGGGAAATTGGTGAATCCTGCATAGAGTGGAAATGCATCTTTTGCCAAACAATCACATAAAAGCCACTACTTCACTATCTCCTGGAATGTGAAGCAACCATCAACCATAGAAGAGATTGAAGAGTTCCTGAATCTTGCAGTAACCACCCTGAAGCCATCAACACTGCCACTCGTCTGATAAAAAAAAGATATCCAGCAGCTGAACAAATCCACAAGGGCCGTGACGAGGATTCGAACCTGCGTCCGGAAGCATCCCAGACACTGCCTTAATCGACTGAGCTACGACAGGGTTAAAAGGGTTGACACCGAAGTTCTACTGAACTTACTGGATCCCGTAGCCTCTCCGAGGCACAAACCAGGCTTTTACACAACCCCCCCCCCCCTGCACCCGAGCTATGTCAACAGGCCGTTCTCCCTCTTCGCCCTTACATCATCACACACAGAGATCACACTAACGTGATGTGTAAAAGCCTGGTTTGTGCCTCGGAGAGGCTACGGGATCCAGTGAGTTCAGTAGAACTTCGGTTTCAACCCTTTAAACCCTGTCGTAGCTCAGTGTCTGGGATGCTTCCGGACGCAGGTTCGAATCCTCGTCACGGCCCTTGTGGATTTGTTCATTTGATGCATCACGTTAGTGTGATCTCTGTGTGTGTGTATCCAGCAGCTGGTCACCCTCATAAATACTGTCAAGCAGTATCCAGCAGCAGCCACATAGTATGAACTGACGATATAAATGAGAGTTCAGCACAGTATATCCTTTCACGACCAAAGACCATATTCACTCTGAAAAGTCAACCACTTACAGGCTATCCATGCCTATGCCACCTCTTGGTGACTTAATCTTCATCAATCAGATGAATCACAATAACGTGGCAGAAGATATGATGACGAAACCACGCATCAGAAGATCAGGAGATGACCACGTTTCGGTCCGTCCTGGACCATTATCAAGCAGAAACGTCGTCGTCTCCATATCTTCTGGTGAGTGTTTTGGTTATCATATTAACAGTTAGGATATTAAATATAATAACACAAGCGAACGTGCACAAATGGCTATAAATTGGATAAATTTACATTTAGGAACGAGCTGGGTAAATACTAGTTCTGGAACAGGGTTGTCGATTTGTGGAACCAATTACAGTATAACATATTTGACATAGGATCCCTTGATTGCTTAAAGCATAGGTTAAACATATATCTGAATAAGTTTGAGTGGATTTTAACAGGAGCTTCCATGTATGGGCTAATAGGCCTTCAACAGTTTTCTGGATTTTCTTAACTTTTTATGTTCAAAAACATATTATAAGCTAAAGGGTTGTTTGTCCTTCTGGCTGTGAATTGATTGGTTAGCAATGGACAATGGGTATTATAGAAGCTCAGAGATTTGTGAAATACATATTTGCAATGTTACAGAGTTCCAACTCTCATGTAGTTAATTTATGTTATATATATGTTTTTTATGTTGAAATATGTTTTTTATTTCTTTCTATATTTTCAAAAATAAAGCATGCTTACTGTCTTATTCCAAGTTTTACGATAATTTTACAAGGTTTAAAACACAAAGTTCAATATGATTATTTTTTTCATACATTAATTAAACGTTAATATAACATCATAACAACGTAAAAAGATGTGTAAATAACGTTATTTTGACATCATACAAACTATATTTTTTTGTTATAATAACGTAAATTGGATAGTTTACATGAATTAAACATAAAAAAAGTTGACTGAACATTGTTTATTTTTAAATGTAAAGGATGAAAATATTATAATTGCATAATATCCACTATTATTTTTAGGTTTTTACATAAATCTTAAACAATTGTGTCTCAAGAATATATGTTTTTAGGTATCTCTAATTGTTTTAACGTCAGAAAGACGTATTTAAATCAGTACTAATACTAATTTATTTCTGGCACCTCTTAAAAACGTTCACAAACGTTTGTGTTTGCTGGGTATAGTGCCTCTCCCTGGGTCCAGGTGATAGTAGGTGGCTAGTAGTCCTCTCCCCGGGTCCAGGCGGTGGTAGGCCGCTAGTAGTGCCTCTCCCCGGGTCCAGGCGGTGGTAGGCCACTAGTAGTGCCTCTTCCCGGGTCGAGGCGGTGGTAGGCCGCTAGTAGTGCCTCTCCCCGGGTCCAGGCGGTGGTAGGCCGCTAGTAGTGCCTCTTCCCGGGTCCAGGTGGTGGTAGGCCGCTAGTAGTGCCTCTCCCCGGGTCCAGGCGGTGGTAGGCCACTAGTAGTGCCTCTCCCCGGGTCCAGGCGGTGGTAGGCCGCTAGTAGTGCCTCTCCCCGGGTTCAGGCGGTGGTAGGCCGCTAGTAGTGCCTCTCCCCGGGTCCAGGCGGTGGTAGGCCGCTAGTAGTGCCTCTCCCCGGGTCCAGGCGATGGTAAGCCGCTAGTAGTGCCTCTCCCCGGGTCCAGGCGGTGGTAGGCCGCTAGTAGTGCCTCTCCCCGGGTTCAGGCGGTGGTAGGCCGCTAGTAGTGCCTCTCCCCGGGTCCAGGCGATGGTAGGCCGCTAGTAGTGCCTCTCCCCGGGTCCAGGCGGTGGTAGGCCGCTAGTAGTGCCTCTCCCCGGGTCCAGGCGGTGGTAGGCCGCTAGTAGTGCCTCTCCCCGGGTCCAGGCGGTGGTAGGCCGCTAGTAGTGCCTCTCCCCGGGTCCAGGCGGTGATAGGCCGCTAGTAGTGCTTCTCCTCGGGTTTAAGTTTCACTAGCTGCTCACTAGTGTCCCATAACTTCTTAGCCAGATCAGGGTCTTGCGCCAAGTTGGAGGTGTTACTTTGCTGATGAGGAAGAGTTAGGATTATAGAGCATGAGGGAGTGGTGGTGGGGGTATGTGGGTGATGATGGGGGATATGGGAGTTGTGGAGTAATGTGGTGTTGTTGGCGTGGCTGTGGGAGTAGTTGTAGGTTGTGGAAGTTGGTGGTGGCGGGGGAGCAGAATTCTGTGTTGCGTTTCACTTACGAGATGGAGAAGGATGGGAAGCTGCCCTTTCTAGATGTAACAGTCATCGAAATGAGCGGAGGCTTCCACACTGCAGTCTACACTAAGGAAACAAACATACGAATGTGCATAAATGCCAACAGTGACTGCCCAGAGAGGTACAAAAGGAGTGTTGTTAACGCTTATGTCGACCGTGCTCTCAGTCACAGCTCAGGATGGAAGCAAGTCGATGAAGAACTTTGTAGGGTAAGGCAGGTCCCAGTCAACAACGACTTCTCCAATGGTTTCGTTGAAGACATCATAAGAAGGAAGGTGAAACGCCATGCAGCCTCTGAAGAGACAACTAACACAACACCTATACCCCCTACTAAACTATTTTACAGGAACTTCTTTTCCACAGCTCATGAAACGGAGGAAAAAGTCCTGAAAGATATTGTTAATAAAAACGTTATCCCTACAGACAAAAATCAGAAGATACAACTGACGATTTACTATAAAACAAAAAAAAACGGCCAGCCTACTCATGAGAACTCTCCATACACAAAGCAGAACGCTTTAAAAGAGACCAACGTCGTCTATGCCTTCAAATGTCCACTTGGAGACTGTAAGCCTCAAAGAACTCAGTATATAGGCAAGACAACAACATCTCTTTCCAGGCGATTAACGATGCATAAGCAACAGGGCTCCATTAAGGAACATATAATCTCTTCTCACAACCAGACCATCACCAGAGAAATCTTAGCAAACAACACAGAAATCATCGATAGATGCAGCGATAGCAGGCGGCTTGACATCTGTGAGGCACTACACATGTATATATATATATATATATATATATATATATATATATATATATATATATATATATATATATATATATATATATATATATATATATATATATATATATATATATATATATATATATATATATATATATATATATATATATATGTCGTACCTAGTAGCCAGAACGCACTTCTCAGCCTACTATGCAAGGCCCGATTTGCCTAATAAGCCAAGTTTTCCTGAATTAATATATTTTCTCTAATTTTTTTCTTATGAAATGATAAAGCTACCCATTTTATTATGTATGAGGTCAATTTTTTTTATTGGAGTAAAAATTAACGTAGATATATGACCGAACCTAACCAACCCTACCTAACCTAACCTAACCTATCTTTATAGGTTAGGTTAGGTTAGGTTGCCGAAAAAGTTAGGTTAGGTTAGGTTAGGTAGGTTAGGTAGTCGAAAAACAATTAATTCATGAAACTTGGCTTATTAGGCAAATTGGGACCTGCATAGTAGGCATAGAAGTGCGTTCTGGCTACTAGGTACGACATATATATATATATATATATATATATATATATATATATATATATATATATATATATATATACATACATATATATATAGGTGAGGGTACCACCTCTGGTGCCAATGTGGGGATGTGGATATATATATACTATATATATATATATATATATATATATATATATATATATATATATATATATATATATATAATATATATATATATATATATATAATATATATAATATATATATATATATATATATATATATATATATATATATATATATATATATATATATATATATATATATATATATATATATATATATATATATATATATATATATATATATAATATATATATATATATATATATATATATATATATATATATATATATATATATATATATATATATATATATATATATATATATATATATATATATATATATATATATATATATATAATATATATATATAATATATATATATATATATATATATATATATATATATAATATATATATATATATATATATATATATATATATATAATATATATATATATATATATATATATATATATATATATATATATATATATATATATATATATATGTCGTACTTAGTAGCCAGAACGCACTTCTCAGCCTACTATGCAAGGCCCGATTTGCCTAATAAGCCAAGTTTTCCTGAATTAATATATTTTCTCAAATTTTTTTCCTATTAAATGATAAAGCTACCCATTTCATTATGTATGAGGTCAATTTTATGTTATTGGAGTTAAAATTAACGTAGATATATGACCGAACCTAACCAACCCTACCTAACCTAACCTAACCTATCTTTATAGGTTAGGTTAGGTTAGGTAGCCGAAAAAGTTAGGTTAGGTTAGGTAGGTTAGGTAGTCGAAAAAACATTAATTCATGAAAACTTGGCTTATTAGGCAAATCGGGCCATGCATAGTAGGCTGAGAAGTGCGTTCTGGCTACTAGGTACGACACATATATATATATATATATATATATATATATATATATATATATATATATATATATATATATATATATATATATATATATATATATATATATATATATATATATATATATATATATATATATATATTTTATATATATATATATATATATATATATATATATATATATATATATATAATATATATATCCACATACATTGGCACCAGAGGTGGTACCCTCACCTATATATGTATGTATATATATATATATATATATATATATATATATATATATATATATATATATATATATATATATATATATATATATATATATACATATATATATAGGTGAGGGTACCACCTCTGGTGCCAATGTGGGGATGTGGATATATATATATATATATATATATATATATATATATATATGTCGTACCTAGTAGCCAGAACTCACTTTTTGGCCTACTATTCAAGGCCCGATTTGCCTAATAAGCCAAGTTTTCCTGAATTAATATATTTTTTCTAATTTTTTTCTTATGAAATGATAAAGCTACCCATTTCATTATGTATGAGGTCATTTTTTTTTTATTGGAGTTAAAATTAACGTAGATATATGACCGAACCTAACCAACCCTACCTAACCTAACCTAACCTATCTTTATAGGTTAGGTTTGGTTAGGTAGCCGAAAAAGTTAGGTTAGGTTAGGTTAGGTAGGTTAGGTAGTCGAAAAACAATTAATTCATGAAAACTTGGCTTATTAGGCAAATCGGGCCTTGCATAGTAGGCTGAGAAGTGCGTTCTGGCTATTAGGTACGACATATATATATATATATATATATATATATATATATATATATATATATATATATATATATATATATATATATATATATATATATATATATATATATATATGTCGTACCTAGTAGCCAGAACGCACTTCTCAGCCTACTATGCAAGGCCCGATTTGCCTAATAAGCCAAGTTTTCATGAATTAATTGTTTTTCGACTACCTAACCTACCTAACCTAACCTAACCTAACTTTTTCAGCTACCTAACCTAACCTAACCTATAAAGATATACCTAACCTACCTAACCTAACCTAACCTAACTTAACTTTTTCGGCTACCTAACCTATAAAAATAGGTTAGGTTAGGTAGTGTTAGTTAGGTTCGGCCATATATCTACGTTAATTTTAACTCCAATAAAAATAAATTGACCTCATACATAATGAAATGGGTAGCTTTATCATTTCATAAGAAAAAAAATAGAGAAAATATATTAATTCAGGAAAACTTAGCTTATTAGGCAAATCGGGCCTTGCATAGTAGGCTGAGAAGTGCGTTCTGGCTACTAGGTACAACATGTATATATATATATATATATATATATATATATATATATATATATATATATATATATATATATGTCGTACCTAGTAGCCAGAACTCACTTCTCAGCATACTATTCAAGGCCCGATTTGCCTAATAAGCCAAGTTTTCCTGAATTAATATATTTACTATAATTTTTTTCTTATGAAATGATAAAGCAACCCTTTTCTCTATGTATGAGGTCAATTTTTTTTTATTGGAGTTAAAATTAACGTAGATATATGACCGAACCTAACCAACCCTACCTAACCTAACCTAACCTATATTTATAGGTAAGGTTAGGTTAGGTAGCCAAAAAAAGCTAGGTTAGGTTAGGTTAGGTAGGTTAGGTTGACGAAAAAACATTAATTCATGAAAACTTGGCTTATTAGGCAAATCGGGCCTTGAATAGTAGGCTGAGAAGTGCGTTCTGGCTATTAGGTACGGCATATATATATATATATATATATATATATATATATATGTCGTACCTAATAGCCAGAACGCACTTCTCAGCCTACTATTCAAGGCCCGATTTGCCTAATAAGCCAAGTTTTCATGAATTAATGTTTTTTCGTCTACCTAACCTACCTAACCTAACCTAACCTAGCTTTTTTTGCTACCTAACCTAACCTTACCTATAAATATAGGTTAGGTTAGGTTAGGTAGGGTTGGTTAGGTTCGGTCATATATCTACGTTAATTTTAACTCCAATAAAATAAAATTGACCTCATACATAGAGAAAAGGGTTGCTTTATCATTTCATAAGAAAAAAATTATAGTAAATATATTAATTCAGGAAAACTTGGCTTACTAGGCAAATCTGGCCTTGAATAGTAGGCTGAGAAGTGAGTTCTGGCTATTAGGTACGACATATATATATATATATATATATATATATATATATATATATATATATATATATATATATATATATATATATATATATATATATATTGTCACGTTGGGGGGGGGGGCCGGGGCTCTACTAGCACTCAGCTGCTAGGGGCTCAAAAGGCCGAATACTCAGCCCCTCCGACTCCCGGGATTCACCGGAGTCTCCTTGGTCACACTGGAGAGGACCAACAATGCCCACCTCCGCAGGTCTTTGCTTCCACCACAAAAGGGGTGCCACTGATTCACCCTGGAAGCCCTTCAGTCAAACAC